TACAGCCACAGTTGATCCAGAGGAAGGCAAAAAAAAACCCAGCAAAGCACGATCCAATCTGCTCCTGCAGGGAAAAAAATTCCTTCCTGATCCCCCGAGAGGCAATCGGATATTCCCTGGATCAACTTTCCCTATAAATGTTATATCCAGTTATATTCTGTGTATCCAAGAAAGAATCCAGGACTTTCCTACAGCAATCCACTGAGCTGGCCACAACCAACTCTGGAGGGAGACTATTCCACATTCTCACAGCTCTTACTGTGAAGAAACCTTTCTGTGGTTGGAGATTACATTTCTTTTCCTCCAGACCTAAAGAGCGCCCCCTTGTGCTCTGTGATGACCTCAGGGGGGATAAACCACACCCGAGTTCACTATATGAACCACTGACGTATTATACATGGAGATCATATCCCCCCTTATGTATTATACATGGAGATCATATCCCCCCTTATGTATTATACATGGAGATCATATCCCCCCCTTATGTATTATACATGGAGATCATATCCCCCCTTATGTATTATACATGGAGATCATATCCCCCCCCTTATGTATTATACATGGAGATCATATCCCCCCCCTTATGTATTATACATGGAGATCATATCCCCCCCTTATGTATTATACATGGAGATCATATCCCCCCTTATGTATTATACATGGAGATCATATCCCCCCCTTATGTATTATACATGGAGATCATATCCCCCTTATGTATTATACATGGAGATCATATCCCCCCTTATGTATTATACATGGAGATCATATCCCCCCTTATGTATTATACATGGAGATCCTATCCCCCCCTTATGTATTATACATGGAGATCCTATCCCCCCCTTATGTATTATACATTGGAGATCCTATCCCCCCCTTATGTATTATACATGGTGATCATATCCCCCCTTATGTATTATACATGGAGATCATATCCCCCCCTTATGTATTATACATGGAGATCATATCCCCCCCTTATGTATTATACATGGAGATCCTATCCCCCCCTTATGTATTATACATGGTGATGATATCCCCACCCCTTAATCTCCTCCATGCCTCGTATCAGTTTAGTTGCCCTTTTCTCTATACTTTCTCCAGTTCCCCAATGTTCTTTTTGTGAATTGGTACCCAAAACTGAACTGCATATTCCAGATGAGGTCTTACTAATGATTTGTACCGGGGGGGGGGGGGTGATATCTCTCTCTCTGGAGTCTATACCTCTCCTAATACAAGAGAGGATTTTGTTCGCTTTAGAAGCCGCAGCTTGGCATTGCTGCCATTATTAAGCTTGTGATCTCCCAGATCCCCCAGATCCTTCTCCACCACTGACCCCCCCAGTATGTATGATGCATATTCTTAGCCCCCAAGTTATCGTGTGTTTATGTATGTATGTGTGTGTGTATATAATCTCAAAAGTAGGGGTTCCCCACTAATAACACTGAACCTTGGGGTAAACCACTGATGACCCCAGACCATTCAGAGTGAATCATTAACCACTACTCCTGAATACCATCTTTTAGCCAGTTTTATATCCATTTATTATTCTGATTTTTCCAGCCTATAGACTTTACCTTACACATTAGCTGTGTGTGGGGAACTGTCCAAGTCTACGACGTCCACCGCCACCCCTCTGTCCAAGTCTACGACGTCCACCGCCGCCCCTCTGTCCAAGTCTACGACGTCCACCGCCGCCCCCCCGCCTCTGTCCAAGTCTACGACGTCCACCGCCGCCCTCTGTCCAAGTCTACGACGTCCACCGCCGCCCCTCTGTCCAAGTCTACGACGTCCACCGCCGCCCCTCTGTCCAAGTCTACCACGTCCACCGCCACCCCTCTGTCCAAGTCTACCACGTCCACCGCCACCCCTCTGTCCAAGTCTACCAGGTTTTATTGCCAAAGTTTCATTGAACAAGCTGATTGGCTCCCAGGCACAACTGCACCAGATTCTATGTGCTCCAGATTTTCAGTAAATCTTTCCCAAAGTGTAACTTCTGTCTGCTGTCTCCTCCTTCTGCTATCAGTTTTCCTGACACCAGGAGAAAAACGGTGACACGGGAGGGTCCTCCAGCAGATTGACAGTCTCAGCTCTATTCCTGTGTGGGGGGGGGGGGGGTGTCCCTTCTCTCCAATCCGCTCTGAGCTCTCCTCGCTGAGCTCTGTGTCATTTCAGCTCTCCGCCCCCTTTGTACTGAATTCTCAGACAAGCACTGTAAATTGTAACTTCAGCCCTTTAAATGGAGGTAAACAGGTACAACTTATGTCTCTGTGTATCACCTGTGGCCAGTCACGTCACTGGGGATATGGAGGGTTTACAACGACTTTAACATCACTTACCCTATAGGCGATCCCCTATATGTCACACCCCGTAGGTGACGCGCCCCCCCCCCCCCCCCCCCGTACGTCAGGCCCTGTAGGCTACCCCCTTACGTCGAGCCCAGTAGATCCCTGTGTAGGCGACCTCTGTACGTTGGGCCCTATACTGTAGGTGATTCCCGATACATTGTTTACATGTGAATTTATCATATTTCTGGGTCACATCTTATCAGAAGACGAGGTACTTAAAGGACTCATCCACACATAAGTGATCATTTAGTCCCGGATGGTGCCTGATGGGCGGAGTCAGGATTTGTCTCCCGACATCTCCCTGCCACAATCTTTGCACATCGATTTTTATTTGGTCATTTGCAGCACAGTAAATCGTCCCGTTCATTCCCTCACTGATCAGAAGAGTCTTATGTGGTCGAGTGTTATCGATCGACTAAATATCGATCAAAATTCGGGATTCTCTGTAGTGTCCAATCGTGGGCCGCTGAACGCAGTTTGCACCTTTTTCATATTTCCATAGATACAATTCCTGCTATTGAAATCCAGTGGAAATCCTATAGGTGTGCGTGTGACCGTGCGTGCGTGTGACCGTGCGTGCGTGTGGCTGTGTGTGGCCAGTTTTAAGCCTTCTTGAGCCTAAAATGGCAGTTAACGTAAAATAACGGCCGCAGAGTCTCCTCTTCCTTTTTTTTTTTTTTTTTTTTTTTTTTTTTCTGGATCCGGAATGTGTGGCCAGGCGTGGGAACTCGCACACACGGTGAAGATTAGAATCGTCTCACACACATTTCAATGGACTGGTAGAAGGTTGGAAGGTTCCTCGTACGCCCGCAGCCTTCCCATCTGCCGCCGGATTGTGATAACGATGACGTTTCTGTCGTGTCCAGACACGGATCTCGCAGTAAAATTGGAAGATATTTGCCCGGTAAAACCTGTTCTTAGGTTTTGTCAGCGAGTCGTCTCTGGTTTCTCTAAGTCTCAAAGGAGTTCCATCACTGGAGCGTCCAACGGCTGAGCGACCGCTGCTCCGGGTCCCTGGGCGAATCTCGGCCCGTCATTTTTAGGACTGTGTCTGGTGATAGAAGGTATGACGTACCCGGTGCTGAAAATGTAAGGAGATCAGGGACTCGCTGGGCAGGGCAACGGCCCGCAGCGCGTTGAAGAACCCCAACTTGGTGACCTGTAATATACTGTGGGGGAGATTTACTAAAACTGGTGACCTCGGAATCTGGGGCAGCTGTGCATGGCGGTCTACCTTCAGTTTGGCAATAAAACCTGGAAGCTGATTGGTTTCTATGTCGAGCTGATCCAGATTTTGCAGTGTTAGTAAATCCCTGTGTATCCAGGGCCAGGCCAAGGGAAAATTTTAGTTGGGTCTCCATCAGAGGTCATGGGTTTTCGAGCCAGGCCAAGGGGACATTTTTTATTTTTTAATTATTTTTTTCAAGAGAGCGTTGGGTCTTCCAGCCAGGCCAATTGAAAATTTTATTTTATTTTTATTTTTTTAATTATTTCATGAGAGTGTTGGGTGTCCAATGTCAGAGGTCATGGATCTTCCACCAGGACAATGACCCAAAGCGCACGTTAAAAAGCCCCCAGAAATTGTTTCAGACAAAGCGCTGGAGAGGACGGAACTGGCCGGCAATGAGTCCAGATCTCCATCCCATAGAGCTCCTGTGGAGAGATCTCAGAACATCAGTTGGGAAAAGGAACCCTTCCAATCTGAGAGACCTGGAGAAGTTGGTGGAAAAAGAGCGATCCAAAATTCCAGCAGAGAGGTGGAATGGTCTCCATCAGAGGTCATGGGTCTTCCAGCAGGACAATGACCCCAAAGCACACATCACAAAGCCCCCAGAAATGGTGTCAGACAAAGCGCTGGAGAGGACTGAACTGGCCAGCAATAAGTCCAGATCTCCATCCCATAGAGCTCCTGTGGAGGGATCTCAGAACATCAGTTGGGGAAAGGAACCTTCCAATCTGAGAGACCTGGAGCATTTGGTGGTAGAAGAGCGATCCAAAATTCCAGTAGAGAGGTGGAGGAAACCCATTGATGGTTCCAGGAAGCCATTGATGGTTCCAAAAAGCCATTGATTTCCGTGATTGTTGTTTTTTTTTTTTTTTTTTTTTTTTGTGTTTTTTCCCAAGGGGTGTGCCACCAAATATTGCATGGAGGGTGCTAATAATTTTGTCCGGTCCATTTTTGGTGTTTTTGGCATGGAATGGGTCAGATTTGGCTTTTTGTTTCTCCACTTTTTTGTGTCATACCAATACAAACAAAAGAAATAAACTTGAGAATGCCAAAATATTTGTAACAATTTTCTGGGTGAAGTGGTGCGTTATCTGATGAAAATGCCGGGGGGTGGGAGGGGAAACTAGATTTTTGGCCATGACTGTTCCTCAGAGTTTCCTTCATCCAGGGACCGTGCGATGTTATACACAAAGGTGAGGATTTGTTATTTCCTCCCTTTCTAGCTTTTCATAAGCAGACAATTGGCGCCGTTGGCAGGATGTGCGGAGCCCCTCCCTCTTTTCGTCATCCTTTTCCATCGGTTTGTGAATTGTCCCGTGCCGGACGCTGGTGATACCGGCGTCTTGTTGATCAATAAATGTTTTTTGAAAGACGACAAATAATAAAAATACAAATATAATGAGCTTCTTTGTTTCCTTTGCAGCTAAAAGATGTTCAGTTTCTTCCGGCGCACTATTGGGCGCCGGTCTATGCGCCGCCATGAGGAGAAGGAACGCCTCCGAGAAGCCCAGAAAGCGGCAACCCACATCCCGGCGGCTGGAGATGCCAAATCGGTGATCACATGTCGGGTGTCCCTGCTGGACGGGAGTGATGTCAGCGTGGATCTGCCGGTGAGTGTTCTGTGATTGGTCTGTCCTCTGATAAAGGTCGCTGGTGATGTCACTCCTGTATAATATATCTTATATCTGGAGGGCGGTGATGTCACTCTGTATAATATATCTTATATCCGGAGGGCGGTGATGTCACTCTGTATAATATATCTTATATCTGGAGGCGGTGATGTCACTCTGTATAATATATCTTATATCCGGAGGGCGGTGATGTCACTCCTGTACAATATATCTTATATCTGGAGGGCGGTGATGTCACTCTGTATAATATATCTTATATCTGGAGAGCGGTGATGTCACTCTGTATAATATATCTTATATCTGGAGGGCGGTGATGTCACTCTGTATAATATATCTTATATCTGGAGAGCGGTGATGTCACTCTGTACAATATATCTTATATCTGGAGGGCGGTGATGTCACTCTGTATAATATATCTTATATCCGGAGGGCGGTGATGTCACTCCTGTATAATATATCTTATATCTGGAGGGCGGTGATGTCACTCTGTATAATATATCTTATATCTGGAGGGCGGTGATGTCACTCTGTATAATATATCTTATATCTGGAGGGCGGTGATGTCACTCCTGTATAATATATCTTATATCTGGAGGGCGGTGATGTCACTCTGTATAATATATCTTATATCTGGAGAGCGGTGATGTCACTCTGTATAATATATCTTATATCTGGAGGGCGGTGATGTCACTCCTGTATAATATATCTTATATCTGGAGGGCGGTGATGTCACTCTGTATAATATATCTTATATCTGGAGGGCGGTGATGTCACTCTGTATAATATATCTTATATCTGGAGGGCGGTGATGTCACTCCTGTATAATATATCTTATATCTGGAGGGCGGTGATGTCACTCTGTATAATATATCTTATATCTGGAGGGCGGTGATGTCACTCTGTATAATATATCTTATATCTGGAGGGCGGTGATGTCACTCCTGTATAATATATCTTATATCTGGAGGGCGGTGATGTCACTCTGTATAATATATCTTATATCTGGAGGGCGGTGATGTCACTCTGTATAATATATCTTATATCTGGAGGGCGGTGATGTCACTCTGTATAATATATCTTATATCTGGAGGGCGGTGATGTCACTCTGTATAATATATCTTATATCTGGAGGGCGGTGATGTCACTCCTGTATAATATATCTTATATCTGGAGGGCGGTGATGTCACTCCTGTATAATATATCTTATATCTGGAGGGCGGTGATGTCACTCCTGTATAATATATCTTATATCTGGAGGGCGGTGATGTCACTCTGTATAATATATCTTATATCTGGAGGGCGGTGATGTCACTCTGTATAATATATCTTATATCCGGAGGGCGGTGATGTCACTCCTGTATAATATATATCTTATATCCGGAGGGCGGTGATGTCACTCTGTATAATATATCTTATATCTGGAGAGCGGTGATGTCACTCCTGTATAATATATCTTATATCTGGAGGGCGGTGATGTCACTCTGTATAATATATCTTATATCCAGAGAGCGGTGATGTCACTCCTGTATAATATATCTTATATCTAACGATCACATTATCTGGGTTGGTATTTGAGGTTATTATGGGATGATTCTCATGGAATTATTTCTTCGTTTTAAACCTCCGTTTTCTATAAACCGTAAACCTTATTATTTTCGGGGATTTGCTGTAATTTTCGGGAAGACTTTGTGTCCGGGATCTGGAGGAAGCAAATCTCGTCCCTCTAATTGCTCGCTAACTGTCGGCGCGGTTTACGGGAACGCTGATCTTGAATGAGAAGGAAACTTCTGTCACAATGAATAGCTCACCTTTGTAACACAACGGAACGTTCCGCTAATAGGATCATCCAGATATTAATTAACATTCAGAAGGTTCCGGCCAATTGTCAGCGCAGCTCATGTGTGAATGGCGACTAATCAGCTCTGCTACTCAGGAAGCCCCGGCCAGGATACTTCGTGTTTCTTTTTAGAGGAGCTTTCCATTCTCCTTTTTTTTTTTTTTTTTTTTTTTTTTTTTTTCTTTTTGGTTGTAAGCAGGAAAGTGAAAGCCAAGTGTTTGTATTTCTAATGTTCCGCTAGAGATATTTCTGTGTTGGAAGGTGAGAGTTCACATACAGGAGGCAGCCATGACTCTAGTGGATCCTTCTGCTCCGCCCCTTTTATCCCGCACATCGCTCACTAGGAGGATCTTTCTGCTCCGCCCCTTTTATCCCGCACATAACTCACTAGGAGGATCTTTCTGCTCCGCCCCTTTTATCCCGCACATAACTCACTAGGAGGATCTTTCTGCTCTGCCCCTTTTATCCCGCACATAACTCACTAGGAGGATTTTCTGCGCCCCTTTTATTTACATAGCTCACTAGGAGGGTCTCACTAGGAGGGTCCTTCTGCTCCGCCCCTTTTATCCCGCACATAACTCACTAGGAACTTATCCCGCACATAGCTCACTAGGAGGATCCTTCTGCTCCGCCCCTTTTATCCCGCACATAGCTCACTAGGAGGATCCTTCTGCTCCGCCCCTTTTATCCCGCACATAGCTCACTAGGAGGATCCTTCTGCTCCGCCCCTTTTATTCCACACATAGCTCACTAGGAGGATCCTTCTGCTCCGCCCCTTTTATTCCGCACATAGTTCACTAGGAGGATCCTTCTGCTCCGCCCCTTTTATCCCGCACATAGTTCACTAGGAGGATCCTTCTGCTCCGCCCCTTTTATCCCGCACATAGTTCACTAGGAGGATCCTTCTGCTTCGCCCCTTTTATTCCGCACATAGTTCACTAGGAGGATCCTTCTGCTCCGCCCCTTTTATCCCGCACATAGTTCACTAGGAGGATCCTTCTGCTTCGCCCCTTTTATCCCGCACATAGTTCACTAGGAGGATCCTTCTGCTCCGCCCCTTTTATCCCGCACATAACTCACTAGGAGGATCCTTCTGCTCCGCCCCTTTTATTCCACACATAGCTCACTAGGAGGATCCTTCTGCTCCGCCCCTTTTATCCCGCACATAACTCACTAGGAGGATCCTTCTGCTTCGCCTCTTTTATCCCGCTCATAACTCACTAGGAGGATCCTTCTGCTCCGCCCCTTTTATCCCGCACATAACTCACTAGGAGGATCCTTCTGCTCCGCCCCTTTTATCCCGCACATAGTTCACTAGGAGGATCCTTCTGCTCCGCCCCTTTTATCCCGCACATAACTCGCTAGGAAGGTATTTCTGCTCCGCCCCTTTTATCTCGCACATAACTCGCTAGGAAGGTCTTTCTGCTCCGCCCCTTTTTATCCTTCACATAGCTCAGGTAATCCAGTGTGAGACTTCCTGGAATAAAGACCGATCACTGCTGCCCTCTATCCTTGTGCAGGGTGACTGGTCTTGTCTCCACCCCTTCCTATAGTTTTCTGTAATGGATTGAGCCTGCTGGCCCCTCCTACAGCTCTGCTCTCTCTCTCTCTGGGGTGCAAGGGGACTGGTCTTGTCTCTGCCCCCCCCCTCCCATAGGTTTCTGTAATGGGTGGAGCCTGTTGGGCCCCTCCCACAGCACTACTCTCTCTTTGTGCAGGGTGACTGGTCTTGTCTCTGCCCCCTCCCATAGTTTTCAGTAATAGGTGGAGCCTGCTGGGCCCCTCCCACAGCACTGCTCTTGGCACAGGCTATGTTCAGCCCAGTGATGAGGTTACTGCTGCTTTTACAATGTAATATCTGGGTTTCCAAAGCCAGTTGGTGCTCAGTGGGTTTCTATTCTTTGTAACTATTGAGCAATATATATATGTTTTTGTTTTTTTTTTATTATTTTTTTTTATCATTTTTAGCTGCAGCAGCTTTTTTATAAGTTGTGTGAATGTCGCAGTTGTTGGATCTGATATTTTAGAGGTTTTAGTTTCGCTGAAACCTCCAGAAAGGGAGGAGAATAAACAGATGTTTCAGTGAAAGGTTAAATATTCACCAACTGTCGGAAACTTCCGTGTTTGCACTTTTTCAGCCCATCGCCGTGACAACCAGAAGAATATCTGCGAAGGGTCGTTCGTCTGTCCCAATCCTGTGAGCGGAGGTCCCCCTTTTACCGCTCCACCTAACCTGATCTTGGGCTCGGTTCACACCTAATGCAGTTTGCGTTTTGATCGGTTTCTGCAGTGCTTTTTGTGGTGTGTTGTGGCTTTTGTTGTGGTGGTTTTTTTTTTTGGTTTTTTTTTTTATGCGGTTTGCGGGGTTTTTTTTGTTTTGTTTTTTTTTTTTTGCTGGACAGATCAAAAATGCATTCCATGCATTTCTGCAGCATCTCCATTGAAGTTTATTGAACCAAAAAAACACACGTTTTGCATTTAAAAGAAGTCCCCGACCCTTTCCAAAAAACGCAGCGGGGAAAACGCGAAGATATGAACGTGTCCCATAGGAAGTCGTGTTAGATGGACTGTACTGCGTTTCTGCACCAAGCACCACAAAACGCTTAGGTGCAGGGCAGACTGACAACTCATGGGGCCCCCTGGGCAATAGGGGATCATGGGGCCCCTGTGTCCATGCCCAAACTCAAAAAAGCCTATGAAAAAGGTACCAGGGGCATCTCATGGGGCCCTCTACTAACCCCGGGCCCTCAGGCAGAGCCCGAGTTTCCAAATGGTCAGTCCGCCCCTGATTAGGTGTGAACCTGGCAGTAGATGGTGGTAGATCCTATAAGATCCTTTTCTTCCTGTTGGTGGTGGGTCCCTCTCCCCCCCCCCCCCCCCCCCCTCCCCCATTGGTCGGATGAGGTTCCGTATGTTGATCTGGTTACATTGTATCTCTGGAGTGACGAGTCTTCTCTCTGTGGGATGACCTGTGACTCGCTCTTATCTCCTGACCTCGGCCTGGTGATGGGGCCTCCTGAGGTCTTCATACAATCCGGAGGAGTGTTCCTCCATCACCAGTACAGAGTCCACCCAAACTCGCGACCGCCACCCATACCGATCCATGCGCACACTCCATGCGTCCGTCACACAATGAGGCGAA